CGCGGACCGCACGGCAGGGCAGAAAAACGGCCGCGGACCGCACGGCAGGGCAGAAAAACGGCCGTGGACCACGTGGCATGGGCGGAAAAATGGCCGCAGACCACGTGGCACGGCGGAAAATGGCTGCGGATCCGGTTCGTACCCCGAGGTAGAGTTCGCAAACCAAGGTAAATTTTTGCGGCCAGAGTTGGTCGTAACCCGAAAAGTTCGTAAGCAGAGGCGTTCGTAACCCGAGGTACCACTGTATGTGTATAGGAGGAAAGGTGATAAGCAAATGGCATACAGACAGGGAAGCAGAGGCAACATCTGAAGATTGGCAGCTATTACAAGCAGGCAAGAGGACTATACAGGTAGTCCTCACTTAATGACCACAATAGGGACTGGAAAATTCCGTTAAACGGGGCAGTCATTAAGCAAGGCATCACATAACTGCACTTAATTTTACAACATTTTTTGTGATGATTGTTAAGCGAATCAAGCAGTCATTAAGTGAATCATGCAGTTCCTCATTGATTTTGCTTGCTAGAAGCCGGCTGGGAAGTTTGCAAATGGCGATCACGTGACCCGGGATGCCGCAACCGTTGTAAGCGCGAGCTGGTTGCCAAGCACCAAAGCAGGGCCATTGCAATGGTCATAAGTGTGAGGACCGGTTGTAAGTAGCTTTTTTCAACACCATCATAACTTCCAACGGTTATTCAGTAAATGAATGGTTATTAAGTGAGGACTACCTGTAATACAACTGCTAGGACCACAAGCTATGGTGAGCAGCATATCTTGATGGGAGTCCTGCCTGGAGCTTGGAGCTTTGCTGGGAGCTCAGTAGTAACTAAAACAATCACACTGAAGCAGCACCTCATCCCCACTAGAGTAAGAATGTTAGGAAAAAGGCAAAGGTTGTATGCTACTTTACAGACTTAGAGACTTTTGTTTGAGCTAGGTATTAAAGGACTAAGTATTAAAGACATATTTACATGGCAACATCACCCTGCAAGTCCTAGATGAGTGGAGAGCAATAGTCTGTGGTGGGGGAAGTTGTATGCTATAATAAAGCATTTTGCTATGCTCTGGTGTGTCCAATCCTTGGAAAGCAAAGAACCAGCATCTTTCTATCTTAACATAGACTTGAAGCATAATGAGAGGCCCATCTTTGGATTCTTCATTATTAGCAGAAAGAAGTATGGAACTGAGTGCAGAAAATAAGTAGTGTGGCATTTCTGCATTTATCAGAAGGAGGAAGTAGACAGGCTAACTTTCAAACCCTGGTGACAAGAAAGGCATCATTACATAGATACTCCTCCACAGAGACCATGAAAGCGTTCAAGGTTGTTCCTGTCCTCCTTTTGCTGATTTATACCGCTGCCAGCATCACCAGATGGCCTACACACACAATCTGCAAGAACAATAATTTGGAAGTAAAGTACAGAAGCTGTGGTGAGACCTCATAGTTCTGTTTAACTTCTTATTATGACCTTGTTTTTGTACTAGCAGCGTAGTGCGGTAGATTGTGCAGTAGATTGTTTGTGAAATGTATTTGATATTTCAGGTCCTCTGCAAAATGTTTTGTGTCTCTTGCTCCAGTCCAGACATGTGTATCTGGCATTTGTATATGTATATTCATTTCTTCCATGTCATTCAGAAACCAATCATTGTTCACCAGCCTTCCACAAGCCTCCAGATCTGTTTGATTACAACTTCCATCACCCACATCATAACCAAGCCTGCTGAAGAGGATGGAGTTTGCAGTCTGGAGGACACTAGCTTAGGAAAGGCTGACATACACAAATAGTTATGTATAGCACTTTTCTCCCTCCACTGAAATGAGAGAGAGAACATTATGTGAATTCCAGCATGTTTCAGAACATCTGAACCAAGACATATCACTTGATGAAGACAAAGATCACTGGATTGGGGCAGTTCTTTTTCAGCACATTCAATTTCCACTGGACTATAAAAATATTAATGACATGATTATATATAATGGTAACAGAGAATAAATACTATATTAGAAACCTGCTCAGTTTAACTTCATCATATCTTCTCCCAGTCTAACATTTCAAGCAATGCTTGAAGCATGTCCATTTTTAATAAAGAAAATAAACTCTGATCTAGTGAATGGAGGTCTAACACAGATTCATCCTACGCTAACCAACATCCACCCCAAATAGCTTGGAATGGTAAGAATCCTGATTTCTCTGTCTCCTCCCCCATCTTCTTCTGTCCCTACCTATGTAATAAACAAGGCACTGGAGACATTTCCCCAAGTGGTGCAAATCTGATCTTTTCTCTCCCTTCCCTTCTCACTCAGCCTAACTCAGGTTTAATGTGCTACTCAGGAAGGAACCATGTTGCCAAAAGTGGTCACTGGGTTCCCCCATGCAGTGGGATTCTTAGATCGGCAGTCCTTCCCATAGACAGTTGGTTCTTCCAATCTGCTGGCAGAGAAAAGGAGCAAGCACCTCTGAAATGGATGAAAATGAATGTGCTTGGCAGTGCTCCTTTTCAGCTTTACAGCTTGACTGGCCCTGTGCCTCAGCTGCTGCACTGATGCGAGGGGGATAAAGGGAATGAGCTTCACAGACATCTCATTCATATGAAGCACGTGATATGAAAAGTGATCAGTGGCAGATGAAGCCCCAAGTGTTTGTTTTTTCAAATTCATCCAAACACAAAAGCTGCCCTCTGTGAGTTTTCCTCCTTCCCTGAAGCTCAGGCACAGCTTTACACCTCCACGGAAATTAAAACAAAAATGAAAAAACAGTGAGGGACGCAAGGAGTAAATAAATATTTGGAATGAATCAATTCCTAGGAGACAAAGTCAGCTTTCAATGATTATAAGTGGATCTCCTGTAGTAGAAAGGAATAGTCACAGGACTGTTCAGGAGGCAAAATAGAGAAGGCTGCTTTTTATGAGTCAAACTATAAGTTCATTTTAGTTTAATGCTGTCTACTCCATCTGGCTGTATCTTTCCAAGGTAATATGTACCTGCAATCCATTTTTGAGAGACCTCAGGGATTGACGTTCTACATGAAGCCCAGCTGTTCCATCGCTAAGCTGTGGCCCCAACTCAGAATAAGAGCCATTTCTCATCAAGGAATCAAACCTTGATCTCATGCAGGCCACTATATTACTAAGAAAGAACAGATAACAGCAGTAACAGATATAGGCATATTAATGTTTTTTTTTCCCCCACAGCAAACTCATTCTGTTCACACAGTGGGTCTATGCACAAGCCCTTGGCTCATTTACAAGTAATAGTGACAACTACAGCTGTTAACAGCTATTCTTTTTGTATTATTCCCTCCTCCAGATGCCCTAGAGAAAGGAGAGAACAGGAAATCAGGCTTCTATATATCAACAATTTTGTCTTTAGCTGAAATGTCATCTAATTCAAGCAAATGCAATCTTATGTTCATTGACTTGGAAACAAGTCTCACTGAAATTCATGGGATTATTTCTGAGTAAACATGGTTAAGCTCAAGCTGTACATGTTTTTGAAAAGTGTTAGCTAGCCAGAGGCTGTCTTCAGAGAGTTGGGCATTTGTCCAATATAATAGATTTAACTTGGGGACTCAGTGTTCCTTATATGTAAACATTGCAGTGGACTAGGGTTTTTTTAAAGTATTTTTTAAACTTTACAGATTGGGTACTACATACATAAAATGCACAAACTGACTTTAAAGTATCCTTCAATTTACTATTTGATGTCATTTGTTTTATTTTTTAATCAGTGGGCATTATCAGAAACTTACTGGCTCTCTGTTTGCATACTGAGTTTATATTTGACCTTTCAACCAAACAGTGTTAGTCAAGGTGACTAGCACTAATAAAAATAAAATGCAAAAAATACTCCATTTTAAAACACAATAAGAAGTGTTTGGGGTTTTTTTTAATTAAAAGCCAAAAATTAAACCATTTCAAAACTTCACTCAGCTAATTCACCAAAGGCTGGTCAGAACAGGGACAGGTCCACCTGCCACAAAGTGACAGTCAAGACAGCTTGCTAATAAATCACTTTTAAAAAAAAGCTAGAAGCTGGTCTTCCCCAATCTCCAAATGTATTAGAATCGCAACTCCCCAAATTCCCACCTGGCCCAGTCACTGTAATCCCAGCAGTTCTGGGGAGAAGCAGCAGAAGGTGGTTAGAAGTGACAGAAGGCAAACCATTAGCATGGTATTTCATACCTATTTCAAAATGATCTTCCAGGAAAATTTGTTGCTGATCAGGCCTCTGCTAAGGCAAGTCTGGATGACTTTTTGGTGACCAAGGGCCACATTTAACAATTAGAAGGGGGTTGACAGCTGCAGAATAGATATGGCCACACGTCAGTCATGTGAAAGGAGTTGGGTTTGTTGAGAAATTGGTTTTTCAAGTGGGATGTGCAAATTTTAGAGCTTATACTGCAATTTTCATGCCTCAGGCCATTTCCACCCAGTCACTTATAACATTTTTCAGATTCATCCAGTTAATCATTGAGGAGATATAAAGCTTGTCTGTCCCTGTTATGTTATTTTGGCACAATAATGGTTGGCTGGTTATAGAAGACACTGTAAGTGACTAGTGGGAGGGCATCTATTATGTTGTCTCAAAATAGTGGGAAATTGGGGCTTCAGCAATCATCATCACAGGTGCTACAAAAAGGTCATAGATTGCTCATTCCTGAATTAAGGAGATATATAAAAAAATAAGTCCTATACTTCTGAAGACAAGTGATTTCAGGAGAATCACATTCAGAGCAAAAATATCAGTGGAAAGAGAGGCAGGATACACCACCAGCAGCACTTATTTTTCTCCATATGGATAGTAAGTCTTGCATTTGGTACTCTGTTGCAGAAAAAGCAACATGAGAAATCTGTGTGAAATGGTATTTACCCCAGCCCATGACCCATATTTCAGCTCACAAAGAGAATCTGCTTCATCACTAGTGTTCTCAAGGTAAGACTCTAGGGTAGAAATCCAGAGTCCCACTTAGCAGAATGAGCAGGAGGGCTTCTAATGCAGCAAAGCAGGTTTCCCATATTTTGGAATTATAATGAAAGTAATAACCATTAAAAGGGACTACTATGGTAACCACACATTCTTTATAGAGAATATCCTTCTCTTTGAAGGACTGTCAGAAAACAATCCTCTGTTTGGAGGTGTGTTGAATATGAAGGGCTGTTCAGACCACTTTAGAGATTGGTGTTGTTATGTACTATTGTGTCATAGCTGACTTCTGGTGCCTCTGCGGATAACAGCTCTCCAAGCTGTCCTGTCTCTCACCACATTATGCAATTCTTGCAGGTGCATTTCGATGGCTTCCAGTACTCTGTCCATCCGCATCATGCATCTGTCAGCATCTTCTCCTTCTGTCTGTAGTTGCATCAACTCTTGCGATGTGCCTGAAGTATGATAGTTTTTGTTTCATGTTCCTCATTTCCACTTAGCATTCTGGCTTGCTTTCCTCTAGTACTGAATGGTTGATTCCCTTGGCTATCCAAGGAATACAAAATAGCCTTCTCCAGCACCACAGGTCAAAGGAGTCAATCTTCTTCCTCTCCATGCCTTACACCCATGCATCATAACGGGGAATACCATTGAGTCAACCATTCTAACTTTTGTCTTGATTGAAATGCCTTGAGCTTTCATGAGCTTGTATAGCTTGTCTCAGTGCCTTTTTGTCCATTGTTGTTCTTCTCTAAATCTCTTTTGCCCATCCACCTTCATTATCAGTTCTGGAGCCTAGAAAAGATCCAGAACCATTACAATGGAGAGGAGTTGGCTTGAAGTGGTCCATCAACAGTGGATACATGAACAGCAGGCACCCAGTACAAATCACCTTCCCCACTATGGAGAGATGCATTATATTTCTGTCTAAATCACAGACACACAAACACATACATACATACATACATACATACATACATAGTCATTTATGATTTCTAAATATATATACCTATGACTATATAAATCAGAGTAATTATTTCTGGTGTACTTATACATAAAAATTAACATTGATTAGATTTATGTAATTCCTTGACCATTTTGTGTTCAGAGAGGTATCTTCCCTCCCCCCCCCCCCCTGATAGGAGACAGGCAGCTAGTTTATACCACTCCATAAGACAGTTAAGCTC